TTAAGTAATGCATGTTTATCTTAAACGAATTGCTGCTTTGCGTTGGTGGTTTTATAGATATGCGGTGAACTGGAAAGACTGTGGTCTCTTGATCGAATCCCCCTTGTCCGTCCTCCCAAAGTCGCAGTTGAATTCGTTCTTCACGTTTTGAGTTGCGCACAGCACGCCTCTGTTCATTGAAGGATAAAGGATAACGTGTTGGGGCGTTGATCAATTTCGTCTGAGAGATGCGCCAACGCATCCATCTTCCCTTCAGAATCGTAGTGGCGTATTGTATACGTATGTGGCCTATACAATGACTTGCGGTGGCCAGCCGATGTTTGTCAGTGCTTTTATCCTCCCAGACGAGTCTGGCACCAAGTCACTCATTCCTCGATTCATTACGTCTCAGTAATTGCGTTCTGGACTAAAGACCAGTCTCGCCTGTGGAAATATCCGCCTATCAAAGAGGAGGCATCTTATTGCTCTGCCACACGCTTTCAACACTATCGTAAGATGTCGGCTTGCAAATCTCTCGCCTACGTTCTCTACTGCTTGACGGAGTTTGCATGGAGCCCTCATAATTTTTTTCAATCATGTTTCTGGTTACAGTATTCTTGTGCAGTGCGAGGTTATTGGGTGGAACATATATTAATCACAATGGCCTAACGTTTCGACGTTCTTATCTTCTTCAGAGGCCTAAAGCAACTCGAGGCTAAATGCACAAAATCTAAAAAGCGCATTACCCTCTGGCGAATATAAAACCCATAATTTGATACTCACCAAGGCTCCACCGCCCAAGTGGATATGAAATCTAAGGAAGATCACGTTATAATGCTAATGAGTCACAAGTCGCGTTGCGGTATATATGGCAAAAGATCGATGGTTATGGTTATCGTTGGTTAGTGTGAAGTGGTACCGTAAAACTAGTTCTAAATATCTTACTTCACGCTACATCAGCTCATCCACGAGCCGTTAAACGAGCAGTCATTAGCAACATGTTGAGAACAGCCACAAGTGTCTGCACGGGTGGAGCTGAACGACTCGAATCCCGGCGTTTAGCTTGTGAGATAGCTGCTGTGAACGGTTATAGGGTGTCACAGAGTTATAGAAAATCTCGCACTAGTACGCAGCGTGCTACGCCCCAAAATAAGATCTCACTATGCCCTCCCTTCATCTCCGATAAAGTTAGCAATGCTATACAGCGGAGCATTTTCAGAGCTGGGCTGCAAGATGTTGTACAATTAGTGAATATTCTTAACAATAATATCAAGCAGCTATTAGTTCGGAATGGGCTCTACGACAAGCAGTGCATAACGAAAGATTGCTTTATATGTCCCCACGGAAAAACAGGTAATTGCGCACTGATAGGCGTGATCTACCAGATAGAATGCCGGACATGTGGGCTAACATACACCAGAGAAACGGGAAGACAACTAGCTATACGAATAAAAGAACACCTAGCTAGTATGAGGCGTGGCAGCCTGATAACGGCGCTTGGTAGGGATAAAATTGAGGAGCATAACAGCAACAACTTCGAAATTAAGTGCACGATATTAGCGCAGAAGAGGGAGATTCCAGTGAAAAAGCATTGGAGGCGTCCTGAATTTTTCAAAGAAACCATAAAATGAATGGTAGAGATGAGTGCCCTTCCATAACCAACGATCTTTTGCTATATATGCCGCACTGCGACTTGTGACTCAGTAGCATTATAACGTGATCTTGCTTATCACAAGTATCACAAGTATAAATGGAGCAGCCAGTAAGTTTCATTCGCTACTGACAGTCGCTTGTGGCGACAGCGCATTCTATATCCGCTTGAGCGGTGGAGCCTTGGTGAGTTATGTCTCAAATTATAGGTTTTGAACTCGTCGAAACATTCGCCAGGGGGTGATGCGCTTTTTGAATTTCGTGCAAATAGTCTCGAGTTGCTTTAGGCCTCTGAAGAAGACGAGAACGTCGAAACGTTAGGCCGTTGTGATTATTAAATGTTCCACCTAACAACCTCGCACGGCGCAAGAATCTCGTAACCGGAAACATCTATGCCGAGGTTAAAGCAAGAGGGAAGTTAGAGACTATGTTTTAATAATATTTATAAATATATATATATATATTTGAATAATATTCAACCACACATCTGCATGTCCGAACGGCTACGAGTACACCATGTCAGCGTCCTCTAATCCAGAATGCAATAGCCACGATGGTGAAGACTCAGCACTGGCAGTGGAGAGGCAGTGTTTAGAATCCAGAAAGCAAGCTTGCTAAAACAGCAACAAAAAAAGCTCCAGTGCACAAAACGCACACTGCGCTCCGTCTCAGGCGTCGGACGGTGTGGCAACCGGTGAGAGGCGAAAAAATCTCAGGTTGCGCACGACGCCTTGGATTTCACACCATGACAACACTCCCTTCACACGACACGAATACTGTTTCTTACTCTGTACTACACGGAAGGACAGTTCCAGCAATCAGGAGCTCCTCGAGTCGCCTAGTCACATCAAGTCTCATGTGATTGCTCTGCAAGAAGTAAGAGCAAGAGAACAAGAGAAGTAACGAGTGATTGAGGGAACCCTAGCCATTCCTGACTGAAAAGCTCCATCGTGAAACGTCGGCGGTGCTGATTCGTCGTGCTCCCCTCTGTCATCCAACTCGTCGATTTTTAGGAGGTTCCATCTCATCTCTATGTTATCCTACACCTACGACATGTGCACCTGAAGGCCACTTCTCTCGTCAACTGCTATTCTCCTTACTCTGCAGCTGACGAAGTAGAGCTCGACGCATTTCACGACCAAGTGAGAACGGAATTGCTTCGAGAAAAAGGAACATCGTCACTGGACATGGGATTCTCCAAACCGTACAACTCATGCTGAACTGGATTACATATTAACAAACAGAAAGTGGTGCTTACCAGATGCTGGCGTGGTACCATCTTCTTGCAGTGGTTATCATCATCGACTCCTTCGCGCTAAGATCACATTCAGTCACAAGCTGGAAGAGATCTCTCAATATCGCGCAAAGAGCTTGAAGCATGTTGTATACGACGGAGATGTTCTGAATGACGGCTTGTTCCGATATGGCTGGCAGGTCATGGATAATCCGGCCAAAGACTGAAACGCGCTGGTTCGGGTTCACCTCACTTGTGTCGAATAGGCCGAGCTTCCTCAAGAGGATACTTCAAGAATAAGCATGAGGTTTGACCAGAGCGCCAACATCTTGATGAGCTGCAAGCAAATATCATATGCAAACGAGTAGTGCGAGGAGACCTTCAGCTATACAGGGAGTGAACATTTCTGTAGCCTTGAACAGAACTAGTCTTACAAAAATGCCACCGGGATCTTCAGGACCGCACTATTCCACTTTCGTGTTTGCAGAAGGGGCCGGTACCCATCATCATTGAGATTCGGAAATCGAGGTAACGAGAGGAGAGAAAGTTACCAGGAGTTTTACCCTGCCTGTACTGATCCACAACACACGAAAATCGAAAATTCTCACTAGCTGAACAGCAAATCAGATCCTTCCTTCAAAGGTGAGAATTGCGATTGCAAGCATAAAAATGGCCACTAGGCCACTATGCCAGGCTCCGACAAGATCTCAGCCGACCCGCTCCGTGCACGTAGTCACGAACTTCATGCGCTTCTCGCAACATACGCGACGTCCTACCTTCAGGAGAGGATTCCCATCCAGTGAAGAAATTCACATATGGTCATTCTTAACAAGTGAGACTGGGATGATGCTCGCAACTACAGCGCGATAAGCTTGTTGTGTGTGTTTTGCGAGCTATTCACGAAGATCATTCTAACCCCCATGTTGCGAACGCTGGATGAAGCTGAACCTGCAGAGCAGGTCAGATTCCGGAAGGGCTTCGGCTGCTTAGGCCACATCCTAGCAATTGAGATGGTACCAAAAAGTGTCGAAGGTTCCGAGAGCCTCCTGTGCTAAGCTTTATCGACAATAAAAAAGGCAAAGGCAAGGCAACACTATTTCGCAGAAGCTGTTCACAGCCACGCTGCAGTGGAACGAGACAGAACGAACGAGACATTCATATGGCTGGACGGATCCTCTCAAATCTCCGAACTGTGGACGAATCGTTCACTTTTCAAGCCGCGTTGCGGAAATTGAGACTATGCTTGCTGAACTCAGAGAAGCAGAAAAGAATGCAAAGCTGCGATTGGTCTAAAAAAGACACAGCTCATGGAGAATGGTCTGACGAATGTCAAATTAAGGTCGATGTCGCACCTATTATGGAAGCTTCGCCTTACATTTATGTAGGGCATTCCATGAACATGGACAACGGCATGAAGAAAGAGCTGGCAAAATAGCAGGGACAGTGTCAGCAGCCTTCAGACTCTTGAAAGAAGTCAAAGAAACTTGGAACTGGTCTGTTCAATTCCACAGTATTTCCTGCGCTCTATCATGTGCCGGTGACTTGGGTGACCAGTGCATAAACGTCAGGAGCTTTGAGCAGAAGTTGCAGAGCGCTCGAGCGATGTTTTTTGAGATTCAACCAACTCATTCAATATCGAGTCGGACTCCGGAGTTCCGACGTGCGCAAAATGCTCGCTTTCGCGATCCGGTGGAATACGTGAAGAGTGGCAAACTTTGTGGGACACCCATATCATGAGAACAGATAATGACAAATGGACAAAAAGAATAGTCTAGTGGGCTCTGCAGGATCTCCATGATCTAAGGGTTGGCCTGGGTGTGCTTCGTTGCGCGCGTCCATCTGAAATATGTAGGTCACGTGGCAGCTATCGCATGCGCCCAGTCACCCGCGATACATGGCGGACGTCACAGTTGTCAGTGGAGCATACGATTTGCGTTTGGTCCACGGTAGTCAGCTCGAAGAGAAGATAACACGGACAAATGCAAATCATCCGCTCCACTGGCATTTGGTGGTACTGTAATGTTTTATCAAGATCTTGGTGGTTTGCGCCGCGCGCGAAGTGGGCGGGGTGACATACTTTCAAAGGGCGCGCGCAACGGATGTTCTACGGGTTGGCCTGCTGCGAGATGGGGGGATGTGCTCGTCGATCACGTAAAGCAGCTGCGAATAAAGCTGAACGATTATCCACATCGTCATCTTTGTCGGATTCTCAGTCCACAGTGGATGGCGAAAGACAGAAGCGCTTGATTAGGTTGCTGATGCTCGCATATGAATGAAGGCGAGTCGTATAAGTATGGGTATAAATAAGTAAGAGCTAACAAGGAAGGTCTTTCAGGGCGTGGGACGCTTTTCGAAAATGGTTTTCTGCATGGGATAGGGGCTTGAGCACTGAGTATAGAACTATGGTCCATTTCCGCTAAATGGCCTTCTGAATGCCAAAAAAGGAGTAAAAATAATTTTCTTGGAAATGACCGTTTCAACCCACTACGTGTCGTTTGTTTCATTCAAGGCGTCGACTGTCCGCCGAGTAGAAGGCCCCAGTGAGCTGCGCATTGAATTAACCTGAACGGTAGCCAAAAAAGGGGGCCACATGTTGGAACATGTTGAAGAGTGCGGGGAGGTTTCACATGCGCTCTCCACGAATGGGTTCCTAGCAGCGACGGATGGTATGGTGGATAGCGATGTGGAGTTCGAGTTGGGACGTCTAGGTTGGGTTGATGGTTCGGATTTCTGGGGCTTTGCCGTTTTCACATTTTATGCTGCCACCTCCAGATTGGCTCCATTTTGTACCAGGTGCAAAGCAAGTGCCCGACTGGTCATGGTCGTGACCAGAACCACCGATAACCTCTACAAGTCGTTAGAATTTGATGTGTCCAGCACTATCAATGGAGGACTTCCAGGCTTCACACTCCCTCGAGTATAAAGAGGGTCTCTTCATCTCACACTATATAAGTGTTGTAATGAGGGTCAAAACCCTAATATATGATTCCTGTTCGATGGAAGCTGTCCTCGACCTCGTTCGTCAATGCAAAGATAACAGGATTCCCATATTCATTGTAGCTCTTGTAGCTCCCGAATCCCTGGCGTCAACTGGGCGTCAAACGCGGACTTCTGCTGGGAAGGGAGTCTGATTCTCTTTCAACTCGTCTTCTTGCTGAAGGATCCATGAGCATTGGGCATGATATAAAAAGCTTTCACCCCTTAAGAAAATCATTCAAGCGCCAGATTACTAGATTAATGATTAGATGAAGGGTTTGGACGATACCCGATCCCAACATACGATCCCCTAACTCCGCGTCTTGCTATGTAGGGCTGGAAGGACACGAACAAGAAGGACATTGCTGAAGTCGCTAAATAAACTCTCGATGTGAGGGATGCAAAAACAGCCGAACTGATGAAAAAACTACGTGAGGAAGTTGAGGGGGGGGGGGGGGAGAAAGGGGAGTTCCTGGGAGTGTGAAACCTGGAAGTCCTTGATTGATAGTGCTCGACACATCAAATTCTAACGACTTGTAGAGTTTATCGGTGGTCCTGGTCACGACCATGACCAGTCGGGCACTTGCTTTGCCCCTGGTGTAATGAAGCCAATCTGGAGGTGGCAGCATAAAATGCAAAAACGGCAAAGCCCCGGAGATCCGAACCATCAACCCAACCTAGACGTCGCAACTCGAAGACCACATCGTTATCCATCACACCATCTGTCGCTGCTAGGAACACAATCGTGGCGAGCGCATATGAAATCTCCCCGCACTCTTCAACATGTTCCAACATGTGGCCCCCTTTTTGGCTACTGTTCAGGTTATTTTCATGAGCAGTCCACTGAGGCCTTTTACTGTGCGGACAGTCGAAGCCATGATTGAAACAAACGACGCGTAGTGGGTTAAAACGGTCATTTCCGACAAAATTATCTTCACTCCTTTTTGGCATTCAGAAAGCCATTAGCGGAAATGGACCATAGTTCTATACTCAGTGCTCAAGCCCCTATCCCATGCAAAAAACCATTTTCGAAAAGCGTCTCACCCCCTGAAAAACCTTCCTTGTAGGAGGATCCAAGACCCTGAAAAACCCTAAAACGTGTTGGGCAGGATCGTCGGAGAGATGCTGCTAAAATTTCGGAGTCGTAACAGATTACCCAAATTTGTGTAAATCAAAAGTGACAAAGATGGCTGTCTGATTTCATTTCCATGCTTGTGACGGAAATGCATCTCGAAAATCGGATGAGAGGCGGCAGGGAAACCATTCTCTTTAAGCGAGCCGGCAACATAGTCGACGGTGCTCCCGCGGATCTGCTCACAGCCTTATTTTTTATTTATTTACTTATTTATTCATGCGTTCCATGCTGTATTGAGACATACGGCTGCTCATGGAAACGATCCTACAGACTAAGAGAAAAAAATAAAAGATAAACAAATCGAACAGGATGCTATGAACATAAACGCACATATACATCTCATACATATCTTATACACATAGATTTTTCACGGAAGCCCAACAACTAGAGTTGAACATTTGGAATTGAGATGATCGAACTGAATCCCTTGTGAGGTATTTCCGACGATATTACCGCAGCTACAAGAAAGCCATCAAGAGCTATTATTATATTGACTGATTAATCGTGATTTCCAGTTCCGGCCCTCTAATGTGCGTTGGAGAGGGGAGGCACTTGCTGTATAGCTACATCACTCGGTTGATAAACTCGCCTTCTCTGCGCGGAAGTGCCCTTTCAAGGGATGTAGAAACTTGGTAAATTAGGCAAATGAACGCAACCAGCTGCTCATTTCGTTTTCGTCTAGATGTTCACCTCGTATTGTTCTTAAATCATTTTATTTGCATTTTTCTCTATATACTTAGCCTATGACGAAATGGTCAGTAACTGGTACAGCAACCTACATATATTAGTTACCATTTCAGTGAATTCCCCTCTGAAACAACTATGTTGATCGTCTACCTTTCCGGCCCTAATCCAGGCGAATCAATTACTTTTTGTGTTTTGCCCCTCCACTCCTCAAGACTGTAAGCAATCGACACAAAACCGTTTTCTCCGAGAACCTCAACTTCCTTCTGCTCCTTGCGTTGCGGCGTACTGCTAGTCAACAACTAGGAATTTATTCATCTAATTATTTATTTATTATGCACCTAAAGTGCGCAATACAAGAACTCAATAGAGAAGCAATACAAGCCAGAAAACACAAAATACTCCCTCGTCGTACATAACCCAACCTTACAAATTCACTGAAACCAGGGCGACCAAGGTGCTCCCCACTGCACACACTAGACGTGAAATTTGCATGTGAACAGCATTGATTGAGATGCAACAACAGATAGTATGCTCTCATTGATGTCATTGGTGGCTCCAACATCATTAGTGGGCCGGCAAAAAATGCTCAACAATTCACTCGCACCTCTAGCCAGTGCAGTTAGTTGGAAAGAGAGCAATCGCCATAGCGATCAAGAGTGGATAGGCGAAGATTGCAGAGCATACTGCCCAGAGAGAAGTTTCATAGCCACATTACTCCAAGCATGAAATAGAAGTATATGAAATTGTAGAATGCCTTCGACAACTAATCTGTGAAACAGTTTTACCATTAACGGTTAGCGTTTTTACCATCATTCATCTTCACAGTTGAATGCAGGACAGAGAGTCTTCCGAGATGAGAAACACTTGAAGAAGAAGTAAACAGCTCGAATAGTGAACACATCAAAAAATTAATAAGAGTCTTCAGGACCCAACAATTCCAGCAAATAGATTTTTCCTAATCTAGCTCTGAACACTTGACTATTTTCAGCAGAAAGCAATTCGGAAGCTAACATTTGCATCCATCTCGAGCTGCGATAGAGTACAAAGTTGTGCAAGTGACTTCGATTTCTCCTACTCAAACTCCTATAGTGAAGATTGAAACCAACTGACTTTACACTAGTAGGCATAAAGATCCAGTAATTACATGCAGTTAATCTTACATCCATACGTAGGAGCCGATAGCAAAAAACAAGGTCCAATATGACACGTCTCTTCTTCCAAGACATCATTTTGAGGCGCCGCAAATGTTCTTCATAACTTGGCAAGCTACCTCGGATGAAACTGGGTATTTTCGGTGGAACAAGAGTTTAGTGAACATTCTATGATTTTTCCAAGTTTGATGACATCCTTTTTGTGCAATGGTCTCCAAATCTGGGAACAGTATTCAAGATGCGTTAGTTCATGTGCTTTGTATAAACGTAACAGAATTTTATAATTTTTCTTTTGAGTACTTCGAAAAAAGAGAAAAGAGCTCCAAAAGCCTTATTCACGACAATGTAAATGCGTTCAGGAGATTTTCGAACTGAATCAACCAGAACACCAAGATATTTAACAGAATTGGAAATATTCAGAAAAATTGATTTCATATCCACCAGGCGGTAATTGTCCCAGATGAAGAACAAAGTTTTGGTTGATTGACATTCAGGTCAAATTCTGAAGTCCAGCATAATAAGTTATCAATGGACCGATTTAGGGCACAACGCACATCGACTCTATTATTGAAATTGTAGATACCATATATCTTGACATCATCAGCGTAAACTTGTACTCTTATGTCTTTAGAGGTTTTTAGGGTAAAAGCTTAATCGATGGTATAGATAATAAACAGGTGAAGGAGAGAGCACTCCGCCTCAAGGCGCTCCAATTGTGCAGCAATGTCGGTCAGAAAACTCTCTTCCTACTCGTACCGTTATACGTCTTTCATGTATATGTGATTCGAACCATTTCATAAATCTAGGTTAACTTCTAAGAGACCTGAGTCTGTAAAGAAGTTTAGCGTGATTAACCTTATCAAGGGCTTTTGAAACATCTACATATATGACATCAATTGAATACCCCTGGCTAAGGGCAACGTTATAATCAAAGAGACTATCCACCAGATTTGTAGTCGTTGACATCCCTGGCGGAAAACCATGCTGCCTTCTTGGTCAAAGATTGGACTTGAACAATCAAGGGAGGACCCTTCCTCGAATAACTTTTTCCATAACTTTAACAGGCGTAGATGTGATACTGATCGGAAGAAGGTCAAATACAAAACATGCACCGTCCTTTTCTGGAACTCCCGTGACAAGAAAATCTTTCCAACTTTCAGGAGCCATACCTAGCATAAATGATACATTAAAAATGTGTGCCAAAGACCTTGAAAGTAAGGCGGCACACCGCTCAAAGACAATAGGAGGTATGTCATCATATGGCTCAGAAGTTGAAGATTTCAGTTTTTTCAGAATGTTGAAAATTTCAAAAGGAACGGAGTGGATATTGTCCGAGCCACATGAGGCTGGTTCAAGTGCCACAGAGTCATATGTGGAGGCGTTAAAAGTACAACCACTATCAAAAACATCGAAGAAAAATCATCAAGAGCCTTAGCTTTATCAGCATCAGCAAATCACCAAACACCCTTCATATTGTAAAGAACAGGTAAGTCGGCCCTGGTCTTCAATTTGCAATGAATGAACGTATAAAGTTTTTTCATAGGACCTTTATAGCTAGTCGTCGTTCACGGTTCGCACGAAACTTTCTGAGGTGGGTATCAATATCAGAACAAGCATTCTTGTCCACAGCGCAGCTCAGGGGTATAGGAAACTTATGAAATAATCTCTGCTTCTGATCAAATAGGTTTTGATTATAGATGGGATAACGGAAATGATAACCCATGATTCTTTGAATTTAACATGTTGTGCAAGTTACTCGTAAACAAGATAACAAAACCTGCGATAAAGATCAGAAGCTGATACATAGCCGTCAAAAGCTTTTAGCCAGTCAATGCCATCGGGGCTATCATTGAGCATATCAAAATGAGCATTACAATAGTCTGGCAAGGGGAATGAAATATTGTAGAGCGCCGCAAGTTCATGAAGAATTTCACAACACAGTGATCATAGCGAAGGGAGGAAGCGTCCTGACATTCAAAACGGCTGGAGAGCTCGTCAGAGTAAGGCCAAGTATACGACCACCAAGGGTTGGCTGAGTCACGACTTGCTTTAGACCATAGTCACAGAAGAATTTGAAAAACTGCATCGAACCTAAATTAAACGAAACACAATTCAGCCAATCTACTTCGATATTGAAGTCACCCAACAGAACAGTGTCAGTGCCAGAAACCAAAAAACCAGATAGGAGCTCAGTAAGGCTTTCATCATTTTTGGGCGACAGTAATAAATCGAACACGAGAATAGAAGACATTGGATAATAATTCAACACATCGTACATCAGCTTTAAGGGATCTTTCATGTGATATAACACGGGAGTGAAGAAAATTTCTGATAAGACAATAAACTCCACCACCTCTCCCTCATTCCGATCTACACCGGATACGCTTTACACTTTACAATTTATTACGGAACCAATTCATATTCGAATGCCGTAGCTACACGAAATACATACATCGTAATGCAAATCACTAACGATTTCAGAATTTTTGACTCTAGGAGATAACCAAATTTCGGTCACGAAAACAAAGTGAGTTTAATTTGTTGAAAGGAAACAGTGGAGTTGGTAGAGCTTATTAACTAAACTACGGGAGTTAAACAAAAATCAGAAAGATGCTCCGATCTACCATGCAAGCTCACATGTTTCCCGAATTTCTTTTTGATAGTTCTGAAACATTTTTGAGCTGTCCATGGTGAACGACCCACTCACGGAGTCCTTTCTCCTTATTTCTTTCCCTAGCAAGCTGTCTTTTGCGGGCAAATACACTTTTAAACTCAAAATTTTTTAGAGGACGTGCGTTCTTGTTGCCAATGAAAGCGAGAGGGAAGCACAACTTTTACCAATCGAGGGCGGCCAGGCATTGATTCACCAATGCTGTATATTTCAGTGGCTCGACACTTCACTTGGAGTACATCGAGCACCTTCCAAAACCTTACCATCCTTATCTTACTATCTAAATCAGCTTGACGTTCAGAAGGTAGAAGGTTATCCTCAGCTTCCAGCAAAGACGAGGCTACGCTCTCGCTTCTCCGATTCGACAAACTCAGAGAACTTCCTGGGTATTTTATCGGCAAGGGCACAGAGCATTTCATTAGTGACTGGGTCAGTGTTACGTGCTGTGATAGCTTTCAACAATTCAGTTGTCGTCATTCGAGCAAAGTCAGGAGTGGTATCAAGCTGCACTGAGGAATTATTCAATGACTGCAAAGACTTAGTGGATGATGGGTCGCAAGCAAGGCTATTCACTTCACTACGCGTAGCCCTGGGCATTATTCAGAAATCAAAATTACCTCAAGACGAAAGCAAACAGAAAACCTTACCACCCACCGTAGGCCTACTCGAATGAATTACTCAGAGAATTGGCTAAGTTATGCAGGTTTTCAGTACATTTTTATTCTGTTGACTTCAAGATGAAGATACAACATAAATTTATTCAATGCAATTCTAGTTGATAGTGTTACTGCGGAGTGTTACTAGCTTTATAACATTCGAGACATGGGGGAATCTCAGAGAAGCGAAATACAAATAGCCCGGATGGGATTAAGAGCGGTTAGCACAGAAGCAGTCCCTCGAGGGAAAAGCGGCACTTCTTCAAAACGTAGTTCGAGAGCAACTACAATTATTCATTCCAAGTATAAAGGATAGGGTTTAAAGTCTTGAGATGTTAGACTGTTCCGTCTGAAGGATGACCAAGTGCATTCTACTCCCACTCAGATTCGCAGTGGCGTATTGGTATTGGCTGCGCATGTTGTCTGTACATAACTTTCTGTAGCTAGCCGGTGTGCAAGTCAGTGTGCTTCTATGCTCCCATGCGAGCCCTGTACAAAGTGAGCGACCTCAGAGGGATAGAATGCTTGGTCGGCCAAGGAGGGTGTCGATCCGGACTCTCCGGAGTAACGGATCTTAGTGGGAGTGTTAGAACTGGAAGTAGGATACGGACGTGTTTCAGATATTTGCTAGAGTGCTGAGGCACAGGAAAGACGACCTCAACCTGAAGTTCGAGACACTGCGGCATGGAAAGTGCAAGAACTAGAAGCTCAAGAAGGGCAACACGCACGAAGCTGTATACTTAGTGCAAGACGACACTGCTGCTGCGGCAGTGTCGCTTTACACTGAAGAATACTCTTTCATAGAATCGCCTCTCAAATACAAAGTTTTATTTATGGACGAAGGGTCTTATGCGGTAGAAGTTTTTCTTTTGATTGTTCCTAGTTCTTGAATGACGCTGAGACTTCTTTTATGCTTTTTTGAATGTACAGTCAGTAACAGACTTGTTTTTCCTTTTTTCTTTTACTATTCCACTACAAGAATTTATTTGTTTTATTTCTGAAAAATGCTCCGCAATCAAAATATAGAGCCAATGCATGATGATTTATAGCTAGAGGTTACAGCTATAGTTTGAGCGGAAACGGCGTTCATGATTTTCTTTCCAAAGGCGATCATAGCTTTTCAAAACAATTCACTCTTCTCTTGAATTTTTATGTTATCCCATCATGCAGTTTACCTTGCACAGAGAGACATGTGACCACATCCATATGCGAAAAGCACGAGCACTTTTCACCTTTCTACGAAGTCGTGTTCTGTGAACCAGATATTATACATATGACGATGACTCGTGACGTGCGCTCCTTTTGACTGCATAATCGCAGCCCTGTAATGATACAGGGTCAAAAGATATAAAATTTATCATATTACTATTAATGTCATTTGTCGATGCCATGACTTAGAGAATGCACAAGAAGGATTGCAAAGACGGTGGGGTAGACCAAGGAGCCACACCAGTGAATATTACTCATTTCAGCAGTAGATTCAAGCAGAACATCAATGGGGAAGGCGTGAAGGAAAAGCGATGAAAGCCGAGTTGCTCGACGGCAGGCTGACGTAGAATGCCAACGGGAAGACATGGAAGAGATTTCAGTGAAGAGCGAAGGCCAAGAATCCGATTCGATCTCGAACGCCATCAGCGAGCGTGTACAGAAGAAACATGTCAAGAAAGGAGTGTTCGTCTCACAAGTGATACTGAAAGACATCGAAGATACCGTAGTCGTCTTCCTGCCTTGCTTCGAACAGCTTCGAGGAATTGTACCTTAGAACCGGGCTACCTTAGTGGCTTAAGCTACATGTGTGAAAATTGCGGGGCTCTTCATTTTTGGTACAAAGCGGAGCCCCAGCATCCGGATCCATATGTTGCAAGTATGGCCGCTTTAATTTGGATCTTTCGGCAATTCTCCTCAATAGCTCAGGGGTTACGCGAGCTATTATATTTGTTTATGAATGTACTGTCTTTGTAAAGCAGCAGCAAATTCGAGAAACTTCATGGAAAACGTAAGAACATTCAATTCAGCATCGAAAATTGCCTTAGTAGGAGCGCAAGTAGGCACAATCAGAAGACGAAGCACTCATTGCTATCACATTCACGAACAAGTTCATCATAGCATAGGATCACTCCATGCGCAGGAAGAACAGAGGCAGTATAGATAAATCGACTTCATAGATACTGAAATGGCCGCCAAAGAACGGTATGGAAAAGTAAGAAATTTTGATTGCGATGCAACTTTGACACGACTCCTCAGCAAACACGTTGTGTCTTGAACGAACTATATGCTCAGTCATACAAAATATGAACGAAGTTCAGTAAGCAGAAATTGCTTTGGCACGGTGCGAGATCATTCTTCATCCAACAATAAGATGGTATCCGAAGACAGTCGATAAGGAAGGCTTGCAGGCCCTTGATATCCCAACAACAAACAACGAAATGGCAGTGATTGGAATCGGGATGAAACCCGACTCTGACAAACAACTTCGGAGGTCATGCTACTCAGAAAAAAATGCCACTTTGTTTGATTTCGATATGCCACTCTCTCAGTGCGGGAAACCTGCTCCAGCAAATCGTGGTAGACGCATAAGTGAAAATTGAACAGAGTCGGCTTAACTTCTTATGCCAAAGCCGGGTGGCCTCACGTGCCGATTCCTACGGAGAGCTTCAGGACTACATAGCTAAAGAGGACTCTACAACCAGACTTCCAGGACGGCCCATTATACAGCCTCAACCAGTATTGGAAGCCCAAGGTTGATGCAGAAATCGTTCCAAGATGCATGGCCATCGTAGCCCGTTTTGAGAAACCGACGTACTCCGTAACAATGACGAGCGACAATGGAACGAAATGCTCTTCAATGAACAAAGCCATTGACCAGAATGGTATCACGTGTATTCGAGGCAAAATTGATGGAGTTGAATCCCGATTATTGTTGGGGAAAAGTTGGTTGGTGAAGTTCAAGCTTACTCTTATGGGACCGAACTCCAGATGCGTTGCAGCCACATTGCCATATCCTGCTGATAACAAAGGAAGTAAGATAAGCCTGTTTGAAGAAGGTGATAGCGAAGTTAACGCCAAAGTTCCTCATTCGAGAACCGGACCGGAACTTATACTGCTATCACTTCTTACATGATTCACCGAAAGTGTGTTCTTGCAGATCTCCGCTCACAATGATGCAACGAGGATAATGCTCGAAGCAGCTATCAAACCCTCTCCAACAAGAATCATCATTAGAAGGCAGAGGATATCTGCTCAACAAAAGGCGTGGCCTCCACCCTTTCATTTCCATGAGAAACCTTATAGCGACGGAAACATCGTGCCTACGAATCCACTCTTATTTCGGAGTGCGATTAATGCCATTTGAACTTGGAAGTTTGTGGGATTATTTCAGCACTTCAACAGTTACAAATGCATTCTACAAAAGTCCAGACCGAGTAAACTCAACATCAAAAGTAAAAATGAGTGGTAAAATTAAGCACCCTGATACAAGAATCAGATGTAAGAATCCGCTCCTCAAAGCGTATATAGAACTTTTGGATGCCCGGTGCAGCATAATTCTGGGAAATTGCAGTCTGATTTCTAGATAGCGATTTGATGATTTTCTCACCTAGGTCAAAATCTCTAAAAAACAGCTCAGAATTGATTTGCTACAACAATCGGGACTTCTTTGCATGCTCGATGTGCTTTTGTAGTATACTTTAGGAGCAAGATCTATGGAACGAATTTGGCAATGCGATGCCCGATGACTACGTTAACTGAGGGATAGATAGAGAAATAACGGTTTTTCTTGCATATCACGATGATTTCAATAGGACGGATTCGCTCGGAAAGGATCTAACGCAGTTTGTGACCTCCTCCCCCTCCCCCTTGACGCTTATCAACCTTCACTACCACGCAGCTCCATCGACTACGAAGCTCATGACAGAAAAGGTGACCTCCGGTACGAAACCCTCAATACTAGACAGAGTAAACAGAGAATGGCAGTAGACAATATTCAGGCTGTTCTGTGAGGTACGGGAACGAAAGCATCTTCTTCGATGTACCATGAAATAGTGGTAAAACGTATTTGTACAACACGTATAATAGTGCGATTGGAAGAAAACGTCAAATAATATGCATGGCGTAGACCACAATGGCCGTTAATCTTGTGCCTGGGGAGAAAGCAGACAATCTCAACATCCAAGTTGAACAGTGCCAATAAAAGCGATAAAAAGTGGAAGGCCCAACAGCTACTGTCAACTAATAGGACCACATTGATCGAATTATCCATAGCTCCGAAGGTCACCTAGGAAATTGGTGTTCCCTCAGGAGGAAAGGTATGGCACTAGGTGGCGACTTCAGACAATTCTCTCTGTAGTCGAGCATGGTCAGCACGACGGCATTGTTGCGGCTTGCGGTTTTTATCACAAAAACCTTCTTTTGGTAGCACTTCACAGCTATGCGAGTGCGCTATACTAGCGCCAAAAAGCAATCATATTCACCGTTCAAGCGGACGGAGGTGCTTAGGATCGACATCACTTTGGTGATCCTCAAAACGAAAGAATATATAGAAGTGTCGATGAATCGATCTATTCTGGGACAAAATTGACCAGTTATTTCTGTGGAAAACTGTAATTATCTGACGCCGCCAGGAACACCACTACATGAGTTGCGCCAAAGAAAGGCGCAATCGGTATGCTTCTAGAAAACCTAGATGTTGCTAATGGGTCGTTTTACTATAGGCCGTCTACTTTTCAGAGGGAAACGCAATGGTCAACTAGCCCCTACACCTAGAATCGACAATTTCTGGAACGAAAAGATACCCTCCCACCCATGGTGCAACTCCCTATTAGAATGGCTTTTGCGATGACTATTACTAAGATCCAGGGCCAGTCATTCGGCAAAAAATGCATTAACCTTAATGACGTGAAAAGGCGTGTTTGCTCATGGACGGCTTTACGTTGCCCTCTCCAG